GCTTTACTCCGAGTTCAAGAAGGTCCACGACGAGCGTGGCATGGGGGGTGAGGTGAAGACAACGGTGACTGAAGTGGACGCTCTTGTGAAGAGTTCGGTCGAAGCTGCCGCGCTCCTTTCCAAGCTGCTGACCACTGCGAAGAACAATGTTCCGAACGGGGGTGCCATGTGAGCACATGGGCTCTGCTCGCCTGCGTCTCCAGACACCGCGGGGACAACTTACCACGTGGTGCGCCGCCAGCTTTGGCTTCAGGATCCGCCCGGCCGACGCGGGGCTGCATGGATTCACCCAGCGTCCGATTGGCCCTTCACTCTGCCATGTCGCTGGTAGCGCTACGGATGGCACGCGAACCGCCGAGCCCCGACTGCACTAGCTAGTCTTGAGGGGTTCGTAGGGGCGCAACGCGAGCTCGGGGTAACGCTCAGTTTGTAGCGCTCGGGGGGTAACAGTTTCAATGGGCGGATGCGCTTCGGAAAAAAATCATCGGGAAAAAAGCGGATTAACCGCTCAGCGGATCATCCGCTAGTCATCTCGCTAGCCTTTTTAAGATGCAGCAGCGGTTCAACCGCTCAGCGGGCCTCTCTCTCTCCCCCCCCGCACTTCCACGCCGCGCCTCTGTCTCCTGAGGAGGAGGGAGAGGAGACGGATGAGGAGGCGCAGTGGGAAGCGGCGGAGGAGGGCGAGGGGGGGGGGGAGGAGGAGGAGGAGAGGAGTTGGAGCAGGGATGTTTCAGGGGCCGCTGCGAGCAGGGATGTTCCAGGGGCCGCTGAAACATCCCTGGTCGCAGCGGCCCCAAGAACATCCCTGCTCCAACTCCTCCCCCCCCCCCCCCCCCTCCTCCTCCCCCCCCTCCTTCTCCTCCTCGTTCCGGAGCGAGGAGGAGGAGGGGGGGGGGTGAAGGGCCCTATCCCCACCCCCTCCCCTCGCCCCCCCTCCTCCTCTTCCTGACGTTGCTGCTGCTGCTCCACCATCTCACCATCGCAGCCGTTTCAGCTTCGGGTGGTCGGCGCGCCGTCCCGCGCCCCACTTCCCCTCCCCCTATTCGCCGCCTCCCCGCTCGCCTTTGTCGGCCATGGAGCCGCTCGCGAAACGACGGAGGATCCTCGATATGCTGGGCAGGCGGATTTTTAGCGAGAGCGACGTCGTAGCGGCGCTTGCCGCGCTGGGGGGCGATGGAGCGGCGTCTCGGCGAGATGCGCGGGAGTGCGTGCATGCGTTCACTGAGGACGTTCTCGTTCAGCTGGCCCTGCAAAACGGGGCGGCGACGCCTTTGACTGGGCCATTGCCAAGTATCAGCTTCTCCTCCCGACGTGCATTGCACAGTGCGCGAGCTTCAGGGGGGAGTTTGAGAATGCAGTGGCGAAGTCGCCAAATAGTTTTGACAGGCCGTGGCGCCTGGCGCTCTACATAGATGACGTAGTACCTGGCGATGCTTTGAGATTGAACAACAAGCGAAAGGCCACGTGCTGGTAGATCGGCATACTTGGGATGGGGCGCTATCTGCGATGCGAAGAGGCATGGCTGCCCGTTGGCGTGCTGCGCGCCACCACTGCTAAAGATCTTCAGGGGGGCTTTCCAGCCGCGGCCAGGGCGCTCCTGCGTTCCCTCCTGCTCGGGACCGACAGCGTGTCCACGGCTGGAGTCAGCGTGTCGCGCGGCGGCCAACCAAGGATTACGCATTTTAAGTTTCAGCGTTTGATCGGGGACGAAGTTGCGACGAAAGCTTTCTTAGATACGAAAGGTTATGGCGACATTAAGTGTTGTTCCATATCCTGCAAGAACGTAGTGAAGCTGAACAAAGATGGCGTGACTGATTCGCTGGCCAATCATCAGACTGGCACGCGCCTGGTCGATGTCTCGCGCTCTGGCCCCTCGCAGTTCGACCCGATGACAGACGAGGGCGTCTGGCGCACGCACGACATCCTGGATGAGGTGCGCAGGCGCGGGGGCCCGTTGAAAACGCTACAGACAACGATGGGGTTCTCTTTGAATGAGCACGGCGTCCTGGCCGACAGGGATCTCCGTCCGCACGTGCCCCCGCACTCTTGCCTTCTGCGCGATTGCATGCGCGTGTACTTGGCAGGCGGCATCGTAAATATTGAACTGGGTTTGCTTTTGAATGCGATTCATGAGTGCACCCCTGGGTTTTCCTTCCGCGTGCTCAAGACGTTCGCTGAGGCAGACTGGCACTGGAGCGCTGGGGGGTTAATCAGGAGCGAGTTCGCCGAGCTATTCCACGAGTCTCGGGAGAAGGCGTGGAAATCAGGTGGTGCGTTTCGCGCGGGGGCATCTGAACTATTGTCTGCGTACCCGTTCATCCGATATTTTCTCGCTGAGCACGTCCCCGCGCATAAGGTCCAGCTTGAGCGCCAGAGCTACTTTCGTCTGTGCGAAGTTTGGGCAGCATCGCCGAGGCATAGCATTATTCCGCGCCGTTGGCTATGAAAGATACCATGCAGCGTGCAGTTTGCCGTTTTCTTGACGCGCACAAGGCTGCGTACCACGTCGATGCCATCGTCCCAAAACACCATTATCAGTGGCACGTTGTGTCAGACCAGGAGGGCGATATATTTCTCGATTGCTTTGTTCACGGAACAAAGAACAATATCGTGAAGCAATCAATGACTCACATCGCAAACACGGCAGCGTTCGAGAAGAGTTCGGTCCAGCAGCTTCTCGTCAAGGTGTTCCCATCGATGGACAAAGTCAGGATGACCGAATTGTGCGAGCCTGTGGCTGTGAGCCAGCCGCTGTCCGACAAGTGTGGCCAGCTTTGCGTCGTGTCCAAGCAGATGAGATGGTGGAGCTGCTCAGAGTTGGCATCGTGGTTTTCGTTCAAAACGCGGCAATTGAGATTCAAGCGTGCGCGTCCGTAGGTGGCGTTCTAGCGCTGATCGTGGGAACTCTTGCGCTGGTGCGCCGTGAGCCTCTCGGCGGGTATTCTATCTGGGCTAAAACGGGACAGACCAAGCTCCTTTTGCCCGAGGGGGCGCGCAAGGCGACTGGCTGTTTCCTCAAGAGCGACAACACGCTTGCGGTGATCCATTGAGTACGGATAAAATCATTTGAAAAAAAAAAAGCGGATCAGCCGCTGCAGCGGATTACCCGCTCGTCCTCCTCATCACCATCATCATCATCATCATCATCAGCACCACCGTCATCATCATCACCGTCGTTCCTGCCCCCTGCTCGATGGGGGGAAAAACGCCCGCTAGCGGATGAGCCGCCACGTGCGTCGTTTTCCCGCCCCTCTTCCCCTTCTTCGCTTTCCTCCCCTCCTCTGTTCCCAACCCCTCCTATGTTTTCATTGCCGCGAGTTTTTTTCCACGCGTGGGCCTCTCCAGTGTCTTTCGGAGGTTTGCTAACTTAAAGTAGTTATTTGGCACATTTGTAACCTTGGTATATGAGATCGTATGTGAGATATATCACCGTAGGTATCTCTTACTTGATATACTGGATGATGTTCTGAGCATATCAACAGCTATAAGGTAGTACGATGATAATGTACACTTGCTCCGACATATAAGTAGGGATGCTGCTCTTATAGATATGGATGCTGCTACTTATAAGTCATATCAACTACAACAACTCCCTCGGCCATCCCAGCAGGCGGGCGATGTACAGGGGCGGCGCGTCCTCGCCGGGGGGATGCCGGCGGAGAGCCCGCGGAGGTCGCAGAAGCGTAGTGGGCCCTGGAAACGGCAGGGCCGTTCTTTTACCGGTTCCGTTTTGCCGTTTTTTTTGCCGGTTCCGACGCCGTTGTTTTACCGGTTCCGTCGCCGTTTTTTGACCGGCTCTGGCTCCGGTTCCAATCCTGGAGCCGTTTTTTTGCCGTTTCTGGTCGCCGTTTTTTTGCCGTTTCCATTTTCAAGGTGCATTTTTTGGAAACGGTGAAAAAACGGCACTGCCGTTTCCGGGGCCCACAAAGCGCGGAAGTGTCAGGCGAGCGCAAGCATGGATCGAGGGTCAAGTCGGGCATGTCCTTCTACAGGCGGAGTATGAAAAACATGGTCAAACACTTTGTCTGTGGACGTTGTGTCGATGATGTGTTGACCATTTTGGGGATATGTTTCGGCTGTTGCAAATTTCTGTCCTGGAGAATCTGCCTGTAGGGGGACATGCCCGACTTAAATCAAGGGGGCGTGGATTAGTGACGGGCCCCGTTTCCATTGTACATTGCGGATTTCCCCGAGCGAGGTGGCACCGGCCGCATTTTGGGGAGGGTACCTCCCCCGATCCATGGATTTGGCGACCGCGCGCCAGATCCATGGATCGCTAATCCATGTCTGCGCGCCCCCGAAATGGAAACGAATGCGGCTTACTTGCCGGAAGTTGGCCTAAGTTGAAGCGGGCCCCCAACCCTACAATGGCGGTCGACACGGGTCTTCGGGGCTTCCAGATTTCAGGGGAGGTATGGTAATTATGGGTAGTCTGCCAGGTTTCAGGGTTTCCATGGTATTTGCTGGATTGCTGTTTCTGTGCGCTCGGGCCAGCGGGAAACCCATAGCAGCATCCATAACCATGCGTCTACATACTGAGAGGAAGCTGAGTACAAGCGACGCGAGTTGCCTGGCCGAGAGCGGGATACACACGTGGCCAGATGTTTTTCTTGCGCTCGGCCCTCACATGGCCAGCACGCTGGCCCTTCGCAGATGTATCAAGTGCGCGATGTTCATCCAGCGCGTGACTTTCACATGTTCCACGTATGAATCCAGCCACGTGTGTCTCCAGCTTCCTTGCACGGCAACACCACTGCGCTCTCCCTCCGGGACTTCGCCTCCGGCTCCAGTCCAAGGCGTACCTTTTCCTGTGCAAGTCTTTCGGCACCGCCTGCACCCCGCGCCCTCTGGCCGCCTGAGGCCCCGCCCGCCCGCGCCCTGTCTCCCCAATTCGTGCTTTGCGCGCCCCGCCTAGCTCTTAACCGGAAGAGGCCCGCTCTCGACCCGCTGACCAAGAAAGTCTCCAGCTTCCTAGTAGGTTTCCCTTTGAACCTGGTCAGGCGGTATGGACGAAGCCCAGCTCTGCCTCAAGAGGCTCCGTGACGCTGGCATGAAGAAGATCAATTTCAGCGGCGGTGAGCCGTTCCTGCACCCGAAACACTTGGGCGAGTTGTGCCGATTTTGCAAGGAGACTTTGAAGCTGGAGTCCGTAAGCATCGTCTCAAACGGCAGCAAGATCCAGGAACGTTGGTTTCAGCAGTTCGGCGACTATGTGGATATCCTCGCAATTTCGTGCGATTCCTTTAACGAAGAGACGAATGTCAAGATTGGCAGAGGAAAAGGCATGCATATTCGCCAGCTCGAGCAAGTGAGGAACTGGTGCAACATGTACGGGGTCCCTTTCAAACTCAATTCCGTCATCAACATTCACAATGTTGGCGAGGATATGACCGCTGCGATTCTGCAGTTGAGCCCAGTGCGTTGGAAAGTCTTCCAGTGCTTGCTGCTGGATGGTGAGAACGCTGGCCCCGATGCGCTTCGCGACGCCAAGGAGCTGGCCATCACCGGCGAGCAGTTTGGGCAGTTCTTGAAGAGGCACGAGACGGTGGCGTGCCTCGTCCCCGAGGATAACACGCGCATGAAAGATTCGTACCTCATTTCGGGGGCGTCCACGATGGGGGCGGGGACCAGGGGGGGGGCGGGTATCATTGATGCGGCCCTGCAATCTCCAAGACCGCATGCCTCTCTTCGGCGGCCAGCCCAGAGGGGGAAATGAGAGGGGGCTGGCCTTCACAGAAGGCTCGGAAGTTCCCTGGCCTGTGAGAGACGTGCTCCAATCCGCGGCACCGTGACGGGTACTCACTAACGGGCCTTTGGGAGATTTGCCCAAAGTTGCCACTCCTAGGGTCTCGTCAGGGCCATGTGCCGAAAGTTGCCACGGGGAGGGTTGGGTTCGCCGGGTCACTGGCCCAAGTACCCGTTGGTGCAGTCCCTGTGAGAGGGGCGCTGATCCAAGCCTTCCCCGAAGACACGGCCAGCGTCTCAGAAGGCCAGGGGCCTGCTGAGAAGCTCCGCCGCCCTCTGAGCAGGGCTCCTTCGTATCACCCCCCCCCGCTCGCTCGCCGCCGATCTCCTTCTCTCGGCGCGCCTCCTGGCCTCCCCCCTCGTCCGCGCACCAGCCTCGGGCCACGACGCTCTGCCCCGGCTCCCCTCCTCGGCGCACCCCGGCCTTCCTGGACGAGCGGCTCCGCTTCCTGAACTGCACCGGCGGCGCCAAGGCCCCGAGCCGCTCGTTGCGCGAGGTCTCCGTGCGCTGCGCGCTGCGCGAGGCCGGCTTCGACAGGAAGATGTTCGTGGAGCGCGGCGGAGTCTACGCCTGGAGCAGGGCGCGGGTGCCCCGGCCGCCCGCCGCGCCCCCCGACGTGGAGGACCTGGCCGCTGCAGGGGCGTCCCAGGGAGGCGGAGGCGGCGAGGCAGCGGCGCGCGGGCGGCCGGCGGTTGGCTCGGTAACCGGCGGCGAAAGCCGAGCCCTGCACCTCGCCGGTCAACGATTCAGGCAGAGCGATGCGCGGCGGGGGCTGGGTTCGGAACTCGTCGAGCACGTGGCGAAATCCGAGCCCTAGCCCCGCCTTCCATCGGGCCGGGCGAAAGGGGATTGGGAAAGGGGGGGTACGAAATTTGCTGCATGCAGCTGGTTTCGGCCTCTCCGAGGGGCCCATTCCTCGAGACATAGCCGCCTCCGGCGCCGGGAGGCGCCGGGAGAATCAGCTACGTGAGCTGATTCTCAAACCCCCCCTTTGCTATCCCCCCTTTTCGCCCGACCCGATAGCCCCGCCTTCCATCGAGTCACGAGAGTCGATAGCTGGCGGGGGCAGGGTTCGGATGTCGCCACCGAGGTGGGACCGCGCACCGAGACGGGCAGGCCGCCGAGGGCGCTCGGCGGAGAGGGAGCGGCGCTGCTCACGGTGGCCGCCTGCGGCCTGGCGTTGGGGAGCGCGGCGTATCTCTTCTGGAGGAGGCCCGGCAGCTGTCGCGCCTGGACGCAGTGAGTAGGGGAACGACCAATGATCGGGGGCGGAAAAGAGGGGGGTGATGACTCATGGGGGGGGGGGGGATATCATGGCGGGGGCCATGATATCTCCCCAGATTTCATGGCGCCTCTTCTTGGCGTTTCATTACGTCCCTGGCCCCCCCGCTGGGCCGCGCACATGCCGCCGGTCATGATTTGCACCCCCCCTCTTGGACACCCCCCTCTTGGCCGCTCCCGAGTAGGGGAACGAGCAATGACATACAGATAATACCTCGGAGATCCGCTCGGATTTCTCGGATCGGCATCCCCCTTGCGGCGCCTCCGGCGCCGCCCCTGGCGCGCTCCAGGCGCATTAGGTTGTGCATACATTACACAGACCCATGAGCAGTTGCATACAGAGCGCCAGGCCCTCTGAGAAATCATCGTCGTCGATGTGGTCATCGTCCTCAGAGCGCCATAGCTCCGCTGTGTGTTTCGGGATTGCGTCTTTTCTGTGGTGGAGGGGTACTTTGATCGTTTTGCCCCCTCCGTGGAGGGTGGGACGCTCGGGGAAGTGCTTTCAAGATAGCCGATCCCAAAGCTTGCCTCGCCCTGTTTCGAGCTACGCACTGTCGATGGCGGACGCGTCTTCGCTGCATGGTGCGCGTGGACCATGTGTGAGTAATCGCCACGGTGAACCTAACGATTCTGAGTGTGCAGCGCTCTGATGACGGTTGCAATTCCCCGGAGGTTGCATTCGGCATCGGCGCATGTACACCAGTGGTCAAAATCGGTTCAATACGATTCAGTGCCGTTTAGTCTGGCTGGATCCCGCTCAATCCGGCTACAGTCTGGGGCATAGCCAAGGCAAGTTGAATGGCCTCTAAAACGGTCTTGTTAGTCCTTCATCGCTCCCGCGAAGACCGTCCAGGAGTTGCCTCCCGACCTCCCGTTCCCCCCGTGAGCACGCTCTGGCGCCGCAGCGCGCTCGAGCGCCTGGATCTCAGCTGGAGTGCCGTATCGTGTTGCGGCCGGGGTCTGCCAGAGGTCGAGGAAGTCAGGAGGTGGGGGAGGGGGGAGGAGCAGGAGGAGGATGTAGAATAAGAAAAGAGTGCAGTGGGGGCCCATGTCAAGAAACACCCTGCTTGCCTCCAGGGTGCCCTGGGTTTCTTGGGTTTCGATGGTTTTTGTTATGGAAAGCGCGACGTTCCCACACCAAAAATTGTGGACGCCCTGTGGTCTCAGGGTTGGGTTTCTTGTGGAAGGTTTCTTGTGATCGGGCCCCCACTGTAGCACATCCCTTGCGTCGGCGTCGGGTTCCCTCTGGTGTTTTTGTTCGTTGCTGCCCCTGGCGCGCTCCGCGCCAGAGAGGCCAGTGCTGCGACGATCCAGGACATTTGTGCGGACCTCCGACAGTTCATGCTTCTGCCGATGCCTCTCTTTCTCGAGAGTAGGAAGGAAAGAGAGGAGGAGGAGGAGGAGGAGGAGGAGGAGGAGGAGGAGGAGGAGGAGGAGGAGGAGGAGGAAAAGGAGGCTCTCCGCCCTCCGCTCCCCCTGTAGCCCCGTCTCCCCTCCGTCCTCGTCCCCCTCTCTGCCCTCGTCTCCTCACCCCTCCCGCTCGGCGCGCGGAGCGCGCCAGGGGCGGAGTCGGAGGCGCCGCCTGGGGGGGGGGGGGCCCAGCGAAGGTCCCAGACGTCCGCGCGGAGCTCCAGAAGTCTCATGGCTGTGTCGTTTCTTCTTGCCAGCCTCGAACTTATCCCTGTCCCCAAGATTGACACGCCAAAGGGCGATGACAATCTTAGGGATGCGCCCTCAAAAGATGAGGGAACCCGGAGATTGGCATCGTGATGGGGAGATGCCCAGCATAGGGATAGGGATATGTTCCAGGCTGGTAATCTTCGTCCTTCAGAGCAGGTCTGGCACGGGATGCTCCAGCCGGCGGCAGGCGAGGGTGGGGCAGTGAGGATAAAACGACGCGAAGATCGGGACAAAATCGGATCGGGATAACTCGAAATCTTTGAGAATCGGCGGGTTTGGAGGATGTGTTGGGCGCCACGGCCGCTCCAGAGCGTTCCCGAACGCTCTGAGAGCGCTCCGGAACGCTCTGGAGCGATTTATCCCGATCCTAGCCCTGTTTTAGAGGAGGGGACGGCCCTCCTCAGAGGGCGGCGGGTCTGCTCAGGATCCCCCGCGCCGTGTGCGAGGTGCTCCGCGTCTCCGGCAAAAGGCTTAAGTCGGGCCTGCCCCCAGGGGGATTTCCGACCAAAAAATAATCCAAAAATGGTCTGGGGACTATTTTTTGAGCATTTTTTGACCGTATTGGGGCATGTTTAGAGTATTCTTGATTTTTCATCGAAAATCCCCCGGTAGGGGGACACGCCCGACATAAGCAATGGCTGAGAAAACTCCTGAGCAGGCCCGGGGACTTCCGAGCCTTCTGGGAAGGCCCGCCCCTTTTCGTTCCTCTCCCGGGCTCGCCGCCGAGCAGGTCCCACACGGTGCAGGGCCAAGACGCGGAACGAAGGACCGATCTGGGTTCCAGAGGGGCTCGGGCTTCCGGGCCGCTCCTCAGATCTAGGCTGAAGTCGGGCACGTCCTTCTGCAGGAGGAAGCTTCAAAAGCAGTAGTAAAGATAGTACGGGGATGACTCTTGTGAGTGTTTTGTCGCATGTTTGGTGCGTGTTTTGACTACAATGCCGTTTGTAATACATGTTCCGCGTGCGGATCATGTATTAAAACATGCAGGGATGTAGTATCAAAAACAACGATGAGTTCATGCATACATTTATGCATCTCTTAGCCGTTGCTAATATGTCATAGTTTTTTTACCAAAAAAACATCCCATGTATTAAAAACGGCCCTGTATGAGCTTCATTTGTCGTCCAAAATCCGCCGGTCGGAGGACGTGCCCGACCAACATCTAGGTCGGAGAGCCCACTCGCGGCCGAGGCTCGCCGTGGCCATGGGAGCCCCCTCCGCTTCTCATGCGGCGCTGCTCCTGCGGGCCGCGCGCCACGGCTGTGCTCGCCAAGGCGTCCTCGCACGTGTTGCGTCTGTTGTCGCGTGTTCGTCCCCATGCTGGGCGTCGACCTGGTCAAGTGGCGCGTCCTCCCCTGCAGTGCTTGAGGCTGGTGTTCGCGATGCGCCGTCGTGCGTCCTCGCAAGTATTGCGTTCGCGTCGCGTGTTCGTCCCCATCTAGTGGTGCTCTTCTCCCTCCTGGGCGTCGACCTGGTCAAGTGGCACGTCCTCCTCTGCAGTGCTTGAGGCTGGTGTTCGCGATGTGCCGTCGACGGCTACACCATCTCCTTCGCCTTACGGGTCTTCGCCCCCGGTCCCCGTCCGCGGCGCACCTGCTCCTCACATCCACTTCGGCACCGCCTGCTCCCCGGGCCCCGCCCGCTCCGGCCGCCTGAGGCCCCGCGTTCCTGTGCCTTCTCTCCCTAATTACAGCTGCGCGTAGCCCGCCTAGCTTTTAGCGGAGAAAGGTTCGCTTTCGCCCCGCAGATCAAAAACTGTGTTCGCCCCCATCTATGACGCCTGTGTCCTCCCAAGTTCTTCTCGTGCCCGACGTATGACGTTTATGCCGTGCGGTCGTCTCCTCCGCGGGGCCACATTGTGGAACGGTGGGGCCAATGGACTTGTGCAGCCACGACCGCCGATGGGGACAAGCACGAAGGTGAGTTCGCGAACGCCTCGTGAGGACGATTGGTGAGTGCACCACGCTGAGCTCTCCAGATCCTTTCCGAAGGTGATGGGCATGTTGTTTTCCACCGCCACCACCATAATAATGAGGGGGAAGAAGGAGGAGGAGGAGGAGGAGGAGGAGGAGGAGGAGGAGGAGGAGGAGGAGGATGGCGAAAAGGAGGAACGAGGAGGAGGATGACGAGGAGGAGCCCCTCCCCCTCCAATAGTGGTGGTGGTGGAGAACCGGCCCATCAGAAGGGCCAGCCTGCGCGTGCACGCCTGTCGCCCATTTTTGTGCCGCCCTCCGCGGCGAGGACAGTTCGTCCGTTCGTTCGTTCTTTCGGTCGTCCTTCTCGTCCCCGCATGTGTGTGTAGTTTGCTCGTCCTCCTCCCATCGTCGACGCCCCCCGCGGGAACCCTACTGCCTCCCTCTCTTTCCCGCCCACCCTCTCTGCTGCCTCCCCGCCCTCGTGCCGGCCCTTCCCCCGCGGACCCCCCTCCTCCTCGATCGCTCCCTTCCGTCGAGGGGGGGGGCCCTCCCTCGTTTTGCCCATCCTCTTGATAAATTCCCCTGTCCTCGATTTTTTCCTCCCGATGTTTGTCCCTATCCTCGACCTTGCCCCTCCCCTCGACCGTTCCCCTCCCCTCGACTCTCCCCGTCCCCTCGATCAGTCCCCCCGCCCCAACTCCCCTTCTCGAGGAGGGCGCGGAGGGGGATCGAGGTTCGAGGATCGAGATTGTCGGATGGCTCTGGCGCTTATCCAGCCTCCAGGAACGTCTGGGGGCCCCTGGAGACCTTCCGAGCCCTCTCCCGTCCCGTCCTTCTCCTCCCCCCCACTGCCTACTTTCGCCCGCTCTCATCCTCTCGTTTCCTCCTCCTCCCTCTTCCCGTCCACTCCCCCATTCTGTTCTCTCCTATCGCGCCATCGCGTCCCCACATGGAAGGCTCCTTCCTCCTCCCCCTCTTTCTACCTCCCTCTCCGACTCCGCGTCATCCTCGTCCTCATCCTCGTCGTCTTCCTCCCAGTCGTCCTCCTGCGACCCAGGTGTGGCCCATGCTGGTGACTTCGTTCGACAGCGCGACGGGCAAGGCCGGCTCCAAGATGCTGCCGGAGGACGTTCTCAAGCAGCTGATCTCGGCGAGCGGGAGCCGCATTTGGATCACCTCCCCCTCCCCAGTATCTCTGGCCTCTCTATCTCGCTTTCTCTCTCTCTCTCTCTCTTCTACTTCCTCGACCGCTCCCTCGGGAACACACGTGTACAGTGGGGGTCCATGCAAAGAAACGCCTTGCTTGCCTCCTGGGTGCCTTGGGTTTCTTTGGTTTCGTTGGTTTTGCTGTGGAAAGCGTAACGTTCCCGCACCAAAAATCGATGGACGCCCTGGGGTCTCAGGGTTGGGTTTCTTGGGGAAGGTTTCTTGTGGAAGGGCCCCTGCTGTACCTCCAGAACTTGCCCTCTTCTTCCTTGTTCTCGCCCCTTCTCCAAGCATCGACCCTGGTGCCTTTTCTACATAGAGGTCTCTGGAGGCCTCCGCGGAGGCGCCAAGGAAGCTTCTGAAGGCCCCGAGCTGGCAAGACCTCGATTCGCGTCCTCTTCCTCGTCCTCCTCCTCTTCCTCCTCCTCCTCCTCCTCCTTCTCCTCCTCCTCCTGCTCCTCCTCCTGCTCCTCCTCCTCCTCCTGCTCCTCGTCGTCGTCCTCCTCCTCCTCCTCCTCCTCCTCCTCCTCCTCTTCCTCCTCCTGCTGCTCGTCGTCGTC